CTACGAAACAAAGACATAATTTTACTTTGAATATTTTATTATTATGCTTCCCTAGATACATTTTCACAAACTGAACCATACTAAAGTTTCATTTGCAAATGGATTTGAATAACCGGTAACTTAATCATGATTTCTAATTGGACCAAATAAATCTTAACTTCACACCTGTGTGAAATTGCAGTCAAAGTGACCCCTTGATTTTACAATACCGTAATTACTCCAAGGTTATGTCACATGAGATAACTAAACTCCATCCATCAGGATGTTTATGTCAGACCGTTCACTTACTGATTGCATAACCTAAAGTGATAAATCTGTAGTTTGCTTGTTGGTATAAATGTAGCTGCAATTGTTTGGGCTTTTTTTTAAAACTCGAATGAATGAATGGGGAAATGCAAAGAAAAGTAACGTGTTATTCTTTATTTTTTTCCAGCAAAGCTGATGATGTGTCTGGAGACTGTATAATGAATGACCAAGGATGGTCAGCAGGAACATGTGAAGGTAATTTTGACCTATCTGTAGTGACTTTCATTATAAATAGTAAATAATTTCAAATTAATAGTGTAGAGACAAGGTTTACGGATGTCAACTCCTTTATTATGTGAAAACATGTTTCAGAGTGAATGATAACCCCTTCGTCAGGTGTAAGCATTCACCCCGAAACATTGTGTTTTCACATAATAGAGACGTTGACACCCGTAAACACTTTCATGTCTTGTATTATTCACTTCAAAATACATCTCAAAGACTTGATGGTGTAAACATACAGTGACTACTGGCTGAATATACTTGTGCCTTCAACAATACGACTGACTCACTGAGTTTGGTTTTACGCTGCTTTTAGCAATATTCCAGCAACATCACGGCGGGGAAACCAGAAATGGGCTCAATACGAACTGTAAGAGATTGAATATAGCAATTTGATGAAAATCTATTACTAGTACCATTATTGCTATATAGAAAATGCAATAAATGTTCAGATATATACTTAACGTATTACTACCTCTGGTCTGGGAATCATGTAACTCCAGAGCAAATTTTGTATCGATTGTGTGTCCTCTTTAGAAAATAAGATATTTCATTCGGTCAATGAGGTGTGATGAATTGCATAATTTGAGTTTTGAGAAAACTAGTGCAAAGTGTGATTGTTCAATTAAGTTCTCTTTTATTCAAACTTCCTTTTGGATTACTCATTTTAAATCACCCTTGGCATTTTCAGTTTCTTGTTGATTGATGTTTGTGTAATTTATCAAAATAACCTAGTAATTCGTTATTACCTGCCATTTTCAGAAACTTGCACATCGCCTAAACAGACTTGCATCTATCGATTGGCCAGATAGACGAAAGAAAAGGTATCGACAACACTCACCATAGACATGACATCACCAGTCGTGAGTGACGAAGATGACGTCAATTAGTTGCATTCCGTCTCCTTTGTCTGGGAGTCCAGCAAGCTTAGGGCATACACGACGACACTGAACTTGGAAAGAATCTACACCTCTCGTCATGGCCAACGTGAGGACGAGGATGAGGCATCCAATCAACCAGAGGGATCTCCGCCCAGGGATGCCTCTTATTGGGCTAACTGACCAACTCTTGCAATATAATTGAATTTATTTTCAATTTCATAATGTAATTTTTATTTTATTTTATTTTTGTATTGTAAGCTGTATGTTGTGTTATTGTATGATGTATATCATAGTTGATGTTTGGCGATAGTTGTGTGTGGCAGAATACCAAGGCGTGCAAATAAATGTCCGATGCAGCTATGTTTAATTACTGTGTTAATTTGTATGTTATTGTTATTTTTCACGATTAGCATGATTTTTGAAATAAATTTCATATCTAACATGCTATTTCAAGATAATAAGTGAATGAAAGTTTAACTGATGAAAAATTACTACTTTGTTATTAATGATATATGATTTCTTAAATTGGATTGAGTTATGCCAAAATGTTTTGCCCTGTTTTTGAGTGCTATATTACTAGTTATATGTATGATCTTTATTTGCCTGAAATGCTAATTCATATTCATGTTGAGAAAATAAAGCAATGAATCTTATTATATATTCTGTTTTTCTTTAAGTAAATGTCATGATAATAACAAATTGCTTATATTGTGTTTAACAAGAGTTTATGATATGAATAAAGAAGAATGGTTACTTTGACTCTTTGAAGTGCATATGAAAACCTGTGAACCTGAAATTGAAACGAGTAACTGAAACTATCCGGAAACTATGTCGGATTGTTGGTAACTGAAACTATGCGGAAACTATGTCGGATTGTTCGTAACTGAAACTCTGCGGAAACCTGTTGGAGTCTTATTAATAACTGAAACCTTGCGGAAACCTGATGGATTCAAAGTTAACTGAAACTCAACGGAAACTTGTCGGAGTGTGGGTAACGGATACCTTGCGGAAACCCTTAGAAAGTGGGTAATTGTAAGTTTCCGTTATTGCGGAAACTCAATGTAAAAGAACGGAAACTCACTGGATTCTAGGTGGAAACTTAAGTTTCAGTGCACTTTCCACCAGGTTTCTGCATTGCGGAAATCAAGTTATTTTTGCTGTGGGTCCTTTTCTTCTTCTTCTTTTAAATCTAGAATAGCCCCCCAAACAATGGGAAAATAAGTTGTTTGTTATTTTCAAAAAGGTATTCATATAGCTACTCAAAGTTGTCTCTTACTTCTGCCTTGACAACCATCTGAGTGACTCCTCAAAAAGACCATAGATATGAAAACCTGGACAACTGGAAAACATGTGCCTAATGCACAGTCGTAAAATGTGTGATGAAAGTGCCAGTTTGTGCAAAATGTTGTGTCCGAATGAAGTTTGTGCTTCTCTATACAATGTGCAAATTATATTTAACTCTGTAACAAGTTGTAACACGGTTTCCGTTTTCGATCTCCATCATGTCCTGAAAGCACATACCAAATTTTGTTTCCCTCTATGACGGTTTTTGAGAAGATCTCTCCGCATCACCTCGGGCGGACGGAGGCCAAACCTACAGCCCCGTCAAACTTCGTTGCAGGGGATAAAAAATACTATATCTATTCATGCAAAGTTATTTAAATGTCCATTTATTTCGGCTTCTTGGTCAATGGAATACACAAGGCGAAGAAGGCACTAACGATGAAGCAGGCACCTGCAACGAAACAAGGACCAAATATACACAGAGTTAAAAGATATGTACCCATGTCCAGTGTCCAGCCGTGATATGGCTGATATATTGCTAAAACAGCGTAAAACTGTACTCCCTTACTATAAACTATGCAGACAACAATGAGGCACTGATGTTGGCAAACCATTTTGTACTGAAACAACTAGAAAGCATGCACATTCAATGTATATTACAGACAATAGTATCCGATGTTAAGAAAGAAATCGTGTTGTTTCTCAAAAATGTACGATTGTGGTTTTCCTCTTAAAATTGTTTATCTCTATCAGAAATTAAATGTTACCACCTGACAATCAATGGTTTGTCAATTGTTTGAACTTGTTTTCCTGAAGGTTCAGCATTCTTGAACAAGGGGAATAAGAAATGAACCATACAACTTTATGGATGACATCTTGTTTATTGCACAGAGCGACCTATTGATGTAGATTCTTACACTGTTATCAAGCTAAACGTGATAACGGTGTAGAAATCTACATCGAAACGAGGCTCTTTTCAGTAAACCAGAAGTTGTCATCCATAAAGTTGCATGCTTCATTGTTGGTTTGTCATACTGTTTAGTTAAACAAATGGGACGCGAATGTTTATATCTGAACAAAATACAAAGTCTACACTTACTCCCTGATAATTGGACTATTCTCTTTCGACATATTTTCATCTGGCAGACTGCATAAACTCATTTTACTTGATTCTTGACAATATGGCGATTTTTCAATAATGGTGATCACAATTACCTACCTGAGAAAAGAAACGTTAAGTCATACACCCCAGTACTTTGATAGATAAGACCTGAAACACAATGTGGTGGTTCTTCATGTAACAGAAAATATTATGTCTCAGTTGGATGATAAAATATTTTAAGGTCATGAAGAAAACTAAAAGCTTTAGTAGTATATACCAAAATGCATATTTGAGCATTAATGACTATTATGCATGTTTCATGATTGGTTCATACCTCCACGCACCAGTCAGGTAGGGAGTTACAAGTCGTCTATTAACACATTGATTAATGCAGTATCGTATCAGCCGCTCACACATTCACCGGCAAAATATATGTTCAATGTTAACCTACTTGCAATAGGTGGTCCAACCATGTTGCCGAGTCCAAAGGAAAAGGAACATATACCATATCCAACGGCCAATTTGGATCGGCCTATCAGCTCAATGCATATAGGACTAACCAATGTGTAAGGTCCCTGACTGTATGTACCATACAGGACACTGAAAATCATCTGGAGACTGTACGTATGTGACAGCACGGGGAGTAACAGAAGGGACACTCCTGTCATTCCTTGTAGTCCAACGTGAAGGATAATGTTTCCAATAGCTGGATCAGAAGAGGCAAAACCAATCAGCAATCCGGTAAAAAGGGCAGGCACACCCATGACAGTGAACAAACTTGCAGACTGTGCAGGTGTACTGCCTCTCGATTCAGCAAAGTTTGGTAAATGAACCATGCAGGCTGAACCACCAAGAGACCAGAAAATGATACTGAGCAGATACAAGAAAAATCCATTTGTGCAGAACAAGGCTACACATTGAGGTATTAACCTACTCCGTGAGTTTTCAGTTGTTATATGCGAGCTGTGTTCAAGCAGAGATTCTGCCGTTTCATTACCTTTCCCAAGACTGTTTTCTTTAACAATCCGAAGCAAATTAGCTGGAGAACATTGGTTCTCGTCACGCCTATCAAACTTGATGGTCGTATTTTCTACAGTTAGAACATCATGTTGTGATTGCATCGTCATTGTAGGCTCTCCTTGTGCATCACAAATATCCTCTGTGTCTTCTTGGCGCTGGGCAAGATCTATTGACATTGACTCCTCTTGCATCAGAGTAGATGATGGTCGAATTAGAGCTCCAACTAAGCACAAATTGAATGTAATGGCACCCAAAATAAGCAACGCGCCGGATAAAGTGTACATCTCCAACAGCTGAACTGTTAATGGTCCGATTACCAGCAGTCCTACTGCACCTCCAGACATGCAGATACCGTATGCCACTGGGAGTCTCTTATTGAAGTAGTTGCTGGGGGCCACGCCACTCACGTTAGCAGCCAGACCACAACCTAAACCTGTGGACATAGATACACACGTTCGCAGGTTGTGGAAGCATACGCCAATGAGTTATTACGTGTAAATTTGCAGAATAACCAACGAGGTACGAGTAATTACGGAAAGTGTATCACGGATAAGAGGTTATAGTCCCAAGCTTTAAGACGTTATTAACTTTCAAGGTGACAAATGGTCAGCCATGTTTACAAACGCAAATTTAGTTGTAACTTTTTCTAATTACTTTGATCGTAAACTGAAACTCCTGGGAAATGAATGTTGGAAATGACTATAATGTGAAATATTGGTGATCAGAAATTATTTTCCTGTCTTGTAAATCGCGAATCAGTGAGACTGTTGTAAAATATGCGAAAGAATGCACTGGGTTTGGGAATGAAGTCAGCGAGAGAGAAATAGTTCTGTCGTCCAATGAAAATACATCTTTGTTTAACTGTCTGCTTCGAGGATCATTCACTAACTGGACGCTGTGCAAATATGAAAAAGATACGAGTTCCCACTGCATTTTAACCCATGTAGCTAGAAACAAAGCATATAGCTGTATTTTGTTTTGAAACCATGAATCAAAGTGTCACATTGACCATACTGTACGAGTCAAGTATACACAGCAAGCATGTTGAATCTTACCTGCTATGACTCCAAACGTAAGGATCAAACCAGTGACAGTCCTACAAAAAGATGCAGCTGTCAGTCCAAGAAACATCAGCATTCCACCCAGAATACCTGTCCATCGGTTTCCAATTCTGTCTTGAATAATTCCTGCTAATGGGCCTGAAAAAGTCATTAGTTTGGTATGTTTGTAGCTGTGTGTCCGAATTTCATTTGAAACATTTTGTTCTTTGAATGAACCATGTATTTCTTTCATCTTTCCACAACAGACTTTAGTAAATAATCTGCATATTTTGCGTTTTTCCTTCCTGTGCTAAACTTCAACATGGGAACTTCAACATTATTTCCTGGTTGAGCATCAAACATTGCAGACAAATGTTTCAATATACGGATGAACAGTCATTACGTGAGATACCGAACGTGTGTCCCTAATATGTACACAATGATCCTGAGTAGTGTGTGGCAAAGACTGAAGTAACACTAAAGTCTTCCGAGTCTTGCAGACTGTCGGTTCTTTAGGAACCGCATAGATACGTATGCCTGCTCAAATCAATCTTTATTCATACTGAATGCCACAGGCCCATAGTATACAAGAACACAATATCATAGAAAAGAATAATATAGTCACATCACAATATGTCATATCACATCAAAATGTATCACATTATATAACATCGTATTACACATACTTTGTCGTATCACATCATATCATAACACAGCATATTACATCCTATCATATCATACCATGTATCATGTCATACCATATCATATAATATCGCACCATATCATATCAAATAACAATATGAATACATACATTCTATGAATTATTATGTTTAATTCTTAGAGACATTGCCTGATAGATAAAGGTTGACAACTTACGTATAAGAACATTGTCATCAGTACTCATTAACAAAGTAAATTTCACCCTGTCGGGATATACAGACATTTTTTTTTTAACTCACAATAGAATGGGCAAATTAAGAGGAAGTGATATTCATCTTCTACACAATATTAAGATCACAAAATGTACAGATTCTATTTTCTCTCTCTATTTTATTATATCTCCCCGTTTCGATTGCCAAGTCATGTGAGGAACACCTAAACCGAGCAAAAGCCTTTCGAAATTTCTTGACATTTTAGTGAAAAGCAGACAATTCTCTCTGTATATATGGGATTGTAAACATTCTATAATAGAAACATTTAATTGACAATGACAGTGCTACAACTACATTCTTGTGTATATATATCTTTGGAGCCGCTTTGAGTAAAATTATTCACAAGATTTGTATGAAGTCAACATTTTGCCTTTGCCATACCTCCCCAAAACCTATTGGCCATTTAACAATTCTCCAGTGTTAGCGAAGATCACCCAGTTAGTCTTTCCGTTTGTTTAATCGTACATTAACATCATATCCTTAACTTGCTGTCTAGGGTATCCAGATGGCATATATAACAGACATCATCAATATTTTATTATTCTAACTTTGATAAATATGTGTATGGGGGAATCTTCCACAATCTCCATATACCATGGCATTAGGTGTACTTTACTTTCACTCCTAAAATGTCTTGCAAGTTATATATAAATGTAATTTTTAAACTTATTGTATCTCACGGTATGCACCATCTCTCTCTTCTACGACCATGTTTGGAAACGTGCTTAATGACTAGTTGAGTCAAATCTAACTGGCTCTGACCCGCCCTGACCTCTGCCCTCATTACCGACATCAGGCGCCATGTCCAATCATCCGCAAGCGTGCAGCTTGCCGAAATGATCTGCATGACCGCCTCCTACCTGTCATTCTCTTTCTTGTCCTTCCAACTTGTTGTGGACGTGTGTTTGTCTATAAAGAGTTTGATTGTGTTTTCTACAATGGGAAAATCGAATCATTATGGTTCTAATAAACTTCAAACATTGCGATAGCTGCAACAGTAATTTCTCGGCGGCAGACCCTTAAGCCTGTGTTGAGCTGTTTAGGCCAGGAGAAGCCGGTGTGAATGGTCTAGACGTTGCTGCCTTGTGTGCAAGTTACGACGATACGTTTTCGAATATCACCTGGTAGCTTGTAGGCATCTTGTCGATCCACCTCAGGGTCTGAGTAGTAAACGTCTAAGTTAGACCACGTTTGATATCTACGATGCGACGTTGAAGTCGATGAAGATTTCTTAGAGAGCGTCTGATTCCTACCTCAGTGAAAATCTGCGTCAACTCTTCCGTCCACGTTCTTATAGCCTCATTACTCTAGAAGATTCTTCACCACCACGAGTTGATGTGTTATCTACGTCTGGTATTCATCCCGGCCGTCTTTTGTGTGGTGAATGTTCCTCAGCGTCTTTACGTTTGGAGGTGGGGACTACTCATGCGGCAGCTTGTTGGTGATTCCTAACATTACATCACAAGTGAGGTTTACTTCCAGTTCGGCGCTACATCAGGAGTTACCTCACGTTTGAAGCGCAGCTTGTCACTGATCCCGTGTGTTTGCTCAGAGTGGCGCCTTTCTGCCAGTCGCTGCTTGCTTTTGGCTTCACGCTTACATCCAGGACAGTTATCTCACGATTAGAGCGCCGTTGTCCACCCGGATCCCATATGTTTGGTCAGGCGCCCGCTTCCTCCCGGTTCGGCGGCTTCCTCCTGGTTCGGCGCTTCCTCCCGGTTCGGCGCTTCCTCCCGGTTCGGCGCTTCCTCCCAGTTCGGCGCTTCCTCCTGGTCGGCGCTTCCTCCCAATGTTCCTGGTTCGGCTTTTCCAGTGTTCCTGGTTCGGTGCTTCTCCAAGTGTTCCTGGTTCGGCTACATCCGGTTTAGGCGCTTCCTCCCGGTTTGGCTTCCTCCCGAGTGTTCCTGGTTAGGCGCTTCCTCCTGAAGTTGTTACTGGCTTAAGCGCTTCCTCCTGGCTCCCCAGTTCGGCGTTTCCTCCTGGACTCCGGTTCGGCAGCTTACTCATATTGACTTTGGTTCGGCTTGCTCCTGTTGTTCCCAGTTCGGTAGCTTCAGCATGGTTCTTTTAGTTCAGCACTCACTCCAGTCTTCCTGGTTCAGCACTTACCTACAGTATTACCCGGTTCAATGCTTCACTCCACCAGGGTTATTGTTTCTCTGCTCACTCATGCGGTGCTCCAGGTTCAGCGCTTACTCATAGTGTTCCTGGTTCAGTGCTGCCTCATAGTTCACTGGCTTCTGTATTGACTCATGGTACAATGCTTCCTCAGGTTTCAGCTTACTGCCAGGTGTTGGCGTCAGCTAGGTCCTCAGTTCAGCTCTGGAGTTCAAAGCCACGGGATCCTACGTCTGGGGTTTCTGTTTAGTTTCCCAACAACGTGATATTATCATCCACTGGAAGGGGACTTAATCTTCCTCAAGTTACCAAAAGCCTTATCCAGAGACGCTGCCAATTGGAGTGATACACGGTCGAGGTGGGAACGTGATGGAACCAAAATTACCTGGCTTCATATCAAAATGGATAATACATCACCCGACGAAGTACTACGCTATATACGGAGGTTATCGGCAATCCTGACGAGTAGTTAAGGTGTGTCAACAACATCCATGTTACCATCCGATTGGGACGTACCATCCGAAGATAGAGATGACGTCATTGAACGATGAACCTCCTCTAAAATAGAACTATGCTAGACCAGTGATAACTGTCAAGCTGTCTCCTTCCTCACAAGAGTCAAGCACGCTGAGGTAGAAGTTCTGCAATGGGAGTCGTAGATGAACTTGTAGTTCTCTAAGAACCTTTATGTATTCAACACAATTGGTTATTTTATGGCGCTTCATCGAGACCGATGACTACAGTCTACAAGTAACAGCGTTAAGCAAGTATGAACTTCAGCTGATCATCTGTATAAGATGACGATTATATTATCTTCAGTGAAGAAGGAAACAATCACAACAGCCAGGGAGACAGTCTACTTACATCGGTATTACGCAGCGATATCGTTCGCGCGTTTTCCACTCAGCCTGCTATACACGTGTTCACTCGTGCAACTCCGGGAGATTACGGACAAGGCCTAGTGTTGATGAAGAAACCAACGACTGCACAAGATTTTACAAGGACCTTTTTCCTGCAACACCGGTGACGTCACATCGCAGGAATCTGAGATGAATCAAATGCTGCAATTTGATTGGTCCATGAGAGACAACGCCCTACGCAGAAGTCTGGCATAGCTCACATACCAGGAAGTCGTCTACAGGTGTAAACAACTTTTCAAGGTGGGAGAAAGGCTCCATTTACAGTCAAGTTAGCAGGGTACAGCGTGTTTCGACTGTCTTCACGGGTCATAAGGACCTTACCTGTCAGCAGATTGGAGATTGTTTATCCGGCGATTTGCAGCAACATACGTTTGACGATTTTTTGTTCGAGGCAGCCAGTCTACTATAAATAGACTTCATAGCGATGGCAGTTCCAGGACATCTAGAGACGACGAATTATGCATCATCACTGTACTTTGTTGTGATTCTGGGGACATACTTACCTACAACGTAGGATATGAGCAGATTTTTGGGAAGATGTTCATCTCACCATAGAATCGCAGGGTCGTCTCAGAGGATCGTTGGGTCAAGATACAACAAATGATATCTCAAGCACTACTCTCTCCGTTACCACTACGAAGTTGGCAGATTCTACTTGGTCTTCTCACGTCAGCACAAGACATTACACAGAGGAAGACTACAACTGCGCCCACTACAAGTGTTCGTGAACGCTCATCTAGACAGTCTGGACTCCTTCGGACTACAGGACGGGCTGAAACCATATCTTCTATGGTGGACTCGGAAGTCGAATGTTTGTGGAAGAAACTACTTATCAGAGCCGGAGTGCAACACTCATCTCTACATAGATGCATCATTTCAAGGATGGGAAGCCCACCTCGACAACGAAGTGGCAGCAGGGAAGTTGTCGAGTCAGGAACAGAGTCTGCCGATCACCATGCTCGAGATGAAAGCAGTAATAAACACATTATTACACGGGTCTAGCATACTAAGGAACGCACAACTGATGATCCATACGGACAACTTCACAGTGGCGTTCTACATCAACAAACAAGGACCAACAAGGTTAAGAAATCTTGTAGACCTCAGCTTTCATCTGTTCAGCATACTAGACAACCTGAACATCGACATAAAGCATGGCACATTCCCTAAGCAAAGAATGTGATAGCAGACGCCTTATCTCGTCCAACACAACCATCCCCAACGGAATGGATGTTAAATCCAGAAGTCTGCAGATGCATCATACAGAGGATAAGATATCCGCTGATAGACCTGTTTGCTACAAACTTCAGCAAACAACTACCAAAATTCGTCTCTCAGGTTCCGGATCCACAAGCATGGGCAACAGATGCTCTAAGCATCTCCTGGGAAGGACTAAAATGCTTACGCGTTTCCACAGATGTTACAGAAAATCAGGCAGACAAAGAAGCTGCAACTGATTTTGGTCGCGCCCTACTAGCCAGAGAGGTTATGGTTTCCCATCCTCATACAAGTACTAGGAAGTCCAACCATACAACTCCGAGAGTGGCCGAACCTACTAATTCATCCGCACACCAAGCAAGCACACGGGAATCCAACAGTATTCCAGCTACACGCTTGGATCATATCAAGACTTGCTTGAAGAAAGAGGATATTCCGCCAGAGCAGTGAAAGCAGTCACACTAGCTTTATGTAGATCAACCCACAACTTGTACGACAACAAGTGGCAAAGTTTTGAGAAATATACATTGAGGAAAGGCTTCACGGCGATGAAAGCAACACATCCTAAAGTGGCGGAATACCTTTGTCATCTAAGACTAACGAGGCGGTTAATAGGTTCAACACTCCTTACATACCTAGCGGCCCTCAGCGCGGTTATCACCATGAAGACGGGTATTAAGCTGACCAAAACTCTGTTTCTGGTCGCCTTGGCAACAGCAGCTCGGATGTCAGAAATACATGCTCTGGACTTCGAACGAATACGATCTGATGCACATTGCAATATCATACATCTGGGATTGAGATGGGATTTCATAGCAAAGAACCAACTGCCCGGTCAGCTAGACAGACAACTCCACATCCCAGCACTCTCGTCAATCCTTGGGGCACAGGATACTCATGATCTATCCTTATGTCCAGTCAGAGCATTAAAAGTCTACCTACAAGGTCTAAGATGAGGAGACGAAAATTCAAGCGCCTTTTCATCCCTCTATCTACGGAGACACCTACAGAAATCTCACGTACAAAAATATCATTATGGATGAGAGCCGCCATCTTAACAGCCTACACAACAGCAGGACTTGAGCCTCCACAAGCCTCCAATCCTCATGAAGTCAGAGCACTGGCATTGACACTTGCTCTACATGGAAACTGTTCCATCTCGACAATAATGGAGGGCTGCTATTGGAAGTCAGAGACGGTGTACTTGCTCATCTCACGTCAACTGAATATGAACCTATGGAGGAGAAGATTTCGAACATGTCTCCTTTAAGACCTTTGCTCTTCGCCTTGGCTGCAGCTGCCCGTATCTCCGAGTTGCATGCTCTTGATGTTTCTCGGGTACGGTTTGGAAGGTCTAGACGTGTGAGAGTTTTCCTTGGTTTGCGGTGGAATTTCCTTGCCAAGAATCAGTTACCAGGACAGCCGGATCGCACATTCACGATCCCACTGTTGTCCACTATCATGGGCCCAGATGACATTGAAGATCTTTCGTTATGCCCGGTTTGAGCATTACAGATTTACCTAGCTGCCTCTGAGGACCACTGCAGGTTGCGCAAAAGACTATTTATCCCGTTATCCACTGCCTCCGCCTCGGAAGTCTCCCGTACTACCTTGGTGTTTTGGATGAGATCTACAATCCTGTGTGCATATGACTATGCGGACCTTCCTCCACCTATGACGGCGAACCCTCAGGAGACCCGGGCTTTGGCTTTCAGCATGGCGCTTCATAGCAATGTTCCCCTTCAGTCCATCACGAAGCATTGTTTTTGGAAGTTGGATACCGTCTTTGCCTCGCACTACCTTCAGAATTCCTCGGTTACAGATGTGGAAGGTCAGCATCAGTTTGGTCCTTTGGTCTTGGCGGAGCAGTTGTCATCAACCCGTGTTCGCAGATAAAGCAATCCTTTCTTGATCGGTTTACTATGTACCTAATAGAAGATATCAATGTAATCCATATCTTGGTACTTTTTTCTCTTGGGCTTAGATCATTCTCACCTATGGGAATAGGGCGTGTCAGCACTGTCATAAGTTATGACTTGATAGACTGTGAGGCAAGTCTTGTGCAACATGCAGAGATGGTCGACATTCCGCTTACTGACCTCTACTCTTTGAGCAATCACGTCTGTGAAGTGTTGATTTCCAATTACCTGTGTGGTTTTCGAAGCGTTCTGCTTCTAAGTCCTTTCTCACCTTTGGTAAGTTAGGGAGATTGGTACTGAACGTTAAACTAGTTGAGCAACCGGGCTATTCCTTCTTTCACCGCCTTCCAGCGTGTGTCTGTGGGGGATAGTTTGGAAGCAGGGACTGTCCAGATTAAGGTCCTCGACTTTAATTCACTGGGGTCACCTGATAAATCGTGGGGCGGCGGGGCCTACTGCCAAACTGCGTCCTTTTGCTTGTCAAAAGTTGAGGCTGAAAACCACATTAATTCGGGAGCGCCCACTCCCTAGAGTTTTTGTGCTGTGTAAGCCAAGGGGTTACCTGAAGAAACTGATCTCAAGTTTGGAGTTTGCATATCGGGAGTTGGTGCTTTCTCCTGGCCTCCTTGGGTTATTCGTTTTTCCCGGTGGTAGTAGTAACGGGGTAATCTGGGACCCGCCTACCAACCGTGGGATTATGCATACCGTGAGATAGGATAAGTCTAAAATTTTGATTTTTTTTTATAATAAATTGTATATTTATATACTTATCCTATCTCATGCGTTAGGATCCACCCGACCTGCCCCACATCACAGATTACTGGAAGCTCCAAGACGAGAATGACAGGTAGAGATGGTCATGTCATCATTTGGGCGAGCTGCACGCTTTGGTGGATGATTGACAGGCGTTGATGTCGGGATGAGGGCAGAGGTCAGGGCGGGTCAGAGGCCGGTTAGATTTGACTCAACTTAGCTCACAGCACGTTTCCACACATAGTCGTAGAAGAGAGAGATGGTGCATACCGTGAGATAGGATAAGTATATAAATATACAATTTATTATAAAATTTTCAATTTTCTCAATTACGTCAAAATGATTGAAACCCCATACCTCTGAACCATACAACAGAATAGGAAGGACTTTTGTGTCAAATATTTTTAAAAAGGAATGATAATCAATATCTACAAGTTTGTGTATGCTTTTGAGAACCCCAATAAGTACCTTTTTGGCTTGTGTGGAACAATATTTAGCATGTGCTGAAAAGCCAAGACGATTAGTGAAGTAGACTCCAAGGTACTTAAATGATTGTGTGACTTGGAGCGTCTCTCCTTTATAATACCATTTTCCCGTTTTAGATAGTTTGCCCCCATTTTTTAATACAACTATTCTCGTTTGCTCAAATCAATGCCAATAGGTATCACTAAATTGCCCAATCAATCTACCTGTCAATAAAGTACATCTAGATGCACAATACATAGTTCCTATGTTTCTGAAGCTATCATTATATAATAAAGCATTAAAAGATACATTGAACAATAATGTAATGCAATATTGCGCATTTGCTCTCCGTGGTGAATGAGGCGCGAAGCCTCAAGCTTGGGAACAACAGAATAAACCGTAAGGATGTGAATTACCTTCTCAAACGAGATTTCCACACACGTTGTTTAACATTCGACCTGAAACTCTGCTCTGCTCAACTGACAGCTAAGACGTATGGTTGTAGCCCTGAAGCAAGCACACTTACCGCACATTGAGAACGTTCCAAGTAATGTTGACCCTACCCACGATACTTTGACCAAATCGCCATCAACCTCTTCCAGAATGGCCGGTGTAATGACCCCAGGTGAAGAGTTTACAGTGCCACAGAACATCTCAATTGCAAAGCAAGCAACACAAACCACCCATGCATAGCCGCGATCAATGTCCTTTCTTTGGCGCTTCATGGTTCTATTTTCAAACTGACATCCAGCGTTTTGTCCTTTACTCATGAATTCTTCTTCCTCAAAACGTGAGTTAGGTTTGCATCTACTTTGTATAATATTTTTGGCGTTTCAAAGTGGTTCCTGCAAAACAAGCAGCATCTGTTCCACAAATAAAAAGGTAATACGACACGACGTTTAGAAGAGAGTTGATTTTTTTGTACATTTTCAAACATTCATTTGGTGATATTTGCATTTAGGCCTCGTTTTGGAACGTTTGAGAATGTTCACATCTTCATACATAAATAGCCATGCCCTTCCATTATCTTGGAAGCTGCGTCATAAATCTAAACTACATCAAAGTATTGACATTAATGGAATACTTTGTACAGTACTGTATATCGTACAACGGACATAACTGTATGGTAGCTATTGTCGAGCCTCAATGTCGGTAGTTTCAGCGTTGTACGTTTTGCATGACAGAGAGACACAACGTCTAGTAGTTAAGGAAAACAAGAATATTATTTAAACAATTTAGAGAACAAGACAGTAAACTTGGAAGTGATGTCTTTGTACATTAAAAGCCTCAGCCCCAAGAAAAGAAAGAAAGAAAACAAATCCCCCCCACAAAACCCCACTATGATGCCTTCTCCATGCCATTGCGAATCACTAGTGTACTGAACTGGGCGCTGGGTTTTGACATCAGTTTACAATATTCATAAAGGGGGCGGTGGGGTAGCCTAGTGGTTCAAGCGTTGGCTCGTCACGCCGAAGACACGGGTTCGATTCCCCACATGGGCACAATGTGTTAAGCCCATTTCTGGTGTTCCCCGCCGTGATATTGCTGGAATAGTGCTAAAAGCGGCGTAAAACTAAACTCAGTCAGTCAGTCAATATTCATAAAAGCTTACAATACCAAATAGTAAAGTATGTTTACGTCTACTATGTATATTCCAAATGCCTGGAGATATGTATCACTGACACATGTTTCCATTACCATTTGACCATGTATAAATAATCACTTTCAAACCCTAAACTTGTAATTTACATAAAATTGATCATGCAAAATACATCCATTCCCTACAGTTTAAGCACCATTACGAAAGAATATAAATATTTCGTTTCATGAATATACAATTCAATCGCTTAGCACATAAGGACAATTTCACATTCCAATTTGGTCAATGTGGTCAATGACGCTTAACAAGTTTCCGTGTCACCGCTACCAGGAGGAGGGTGACGACTGGAAAAAAATATTACCCGCTGCCACGGTAACCGCCAAACTCTCCGCCCAGAAGCTGTATCGCTAACAATCGTGTGACGTCATAATATGACGCATGCAGGGCCCGGAGTTCGAAACCGTTCGATTAGCTGTTTGTGAGTTCACTATGTACAGATTTATTTTACTGACTTCCACTGCTTATTTAAACTATTATATACATTGAATCATTTGCACACTCAACTTAAACATAATTAACCATTTTATAGCAGTTTGAAGCTTTTCAGTATATGTTTCGCTGATTTTAAAAATCCAGTCGAGAGGCATACGCCATTTTGCTTACATGTCATATAGTCGGTAGCGATGTTCAAAATAGAATAACATGATATTTTGTACATTTAACATGGTGGTGTTTTAAATAAGTTGTATGCTTCTGCCTTGGGTAATACGGTCTGATGTATGCCTGTTCGTGGCAGTGTCATCCCTCGCCTACCGGCTCGGATGACACTGCACAAAGAGGCGTGCATCAGACCGTATTACACTCGAGAGAACTTATAATGTCCGGTGTATGAGTGAGTGATTGATTGAGTTAAGGTTTCCAGTCACATCGGCAATATTTCAGCCATATCGTGACTAAACACAACTTATAATTGCATAATAAATCATGCGAAGGACAGTTAAAAAAGCTAGAATATGACATATATAATTATATAATTAGCATGAAAATCTCAACTACCTTAACTATGAAAGACAATACAATATAAAAAGGGCTATAGATCGCCAACAACTGAAGGTAGATCCCATACTAGGGACCATGGGGAATTACAGTGCCTTTGCTACTTACATGGACCCTAGCTGGATTTACACCATCCCTTCAGCAATTGTAGGAAAGTTAACCCATAATTTGAAATCACACAAATTCAACGTTTAAACATCTGGTAAGTTTAAATATACTTTGAAAGTGTTAGGACTTACGTACCCTCTCAGGAGGACAATAATATCACGATGATTTAACCCTCTCTGAGGATACAGCCAGTAACATTCCAGTGTATGACATATGTTCTCGTCACGAAATGGCTTAAATATTGCCGATGTGACGTTAAATAATAACTCACTCACTCACGCCAGTGTATGATGCTACATTTATAGCAGTACACGTCATTGAATTAACAAGTATTCTTTTAAGCTGTATTTATCAACAGTAAAACTATGTCACAGTGGGCGTAAACTGGAAATAATCTTCACATATAGTACCCATGTTGGAAATCGAATCTTATTGAACTTGGTTGCCTTAAGCACGTTACGTGATAAACAAACTCACATCGATACTACAATGTATCAAGACCCCAGGCTCCATCAATGAGAGATCCCTCCTCATACCTGAACTGCGAAATCGTTTCAGCATTTACATACGATCCCAATCAAATATCATATTTGGCATCATAAGGTGAATACTCACTGTCTGAATGTTTTCAATATCGATGTTGTGGTTATGTTAAAGGCGTCCTTGTCCAGTGTTTTTCATTTCCCTTTCCTCCTTTCACTTTCTTTGTTATATGTTCCTTGTTTAATGTACAGTGTTTGTTTCACATACAGATCTGGTTTTAAATAAATAGCTTGTTAAAGCGATAAAGACACGTTTTCTCGAACCCATACACACCGCATGCTGCAGCTAATGAAGGGTGTCTTTTGTTTGTACATATACCATATACCTTTTGTTTGTACATAATCTACCATGTTGACCTATTCCTTCCATCTGTTCGTTATGCTTTTAGAGGAGCAGACATTTCTCATGAATATTGAAAAGGGTTTGTTTCTAGCATTTAAATGTAGGTTTAATTTCTTGACGCTATTTTGTTTTTGGCAAAACAGTGTTGTGTGAATACAATTTCACTGTTTATGACAATATTCCAGAAATACAAGAACGGACAACATCTGAGATGTGCTACAGACATTTCATCCCATTTGGGTACTAGGATGTCATAACACTTTATCACTGAGATACTCCTTTCCACAAAGAGGGCGGTGAGGTAGCCTAGTAGTTAAAGCGTACGCACGTCACGCCGAAGGTCCAGGTTTCATTTCAGCACACGGGTAAAATGAATGATGCCCATTTCTGGTGTCCAAGCTGTGATATTGCTGGAATATTGCTAAAAGCGGCGTAAAACCACACTCACCCACTATCCATGAAGACAAATGCCGAGCTTAATTCACATTTGTGGTGTTTGGGAATGTGTAAGTACCCTCGCTGTGCTGATACATTATAGTTAAAGCCTTATTTCAGGGTTATCTTAAATAAGGCAGGTACGTATACAAACTATGCTGTTATACTATACCTTACAAACTCATCAAATTACATATATGCAGATTTTTTTCCATCACAAGGGATAAGTATTTCAATGTAAAAACTGGTAAGGATCTTTTAGTACTGTTAATTTTCATTTAATTATGGAATTTTGAAAAGAAATAGAATTATTAGATACATTTTTATCAATAGTTTGTAAGTAGATATATATTTTATTATTGGTAGTTTGGATTAGTAACTGAGATTATTAGTGGCTGTACCCCCAAAGGGGGTTGAAGTATTGTAAAATTATTGTCCCCTGAGAGGGTATGTAAGTCCCAAAATAGTTCAAAGTTATTTTAAACCTACCACTTTTTTTAATCGTAGTATATATGTTATTTTTAATTTATGGCTAGATTATCTAAAATTGCCAATAGCTGAAGGGATGGTGTAAACCCAGCTAGGGTCCATGCAGGAAGCAAATGTACTGTAAGTCCCCATGGACCCTAGTATGGTGATCTACCTTCAGTTGTTGGCGATCTATAGCCCGTGGTTTATAGTGTACTGTTTTCTTCAACTAAAATGTTTCAGATTTACATTCTAGTTTTATATTCATATCTGTGATACTCTAGGATTTTTACTGTCCCTTGTCGACAGATTTTACTCTTTAAAATATTTTCACTTGTATTGTATAAATTGTTTTCGTCACGATATGGCTGAGATATTGCCGATGTGACGTTAAATATCAACTCACTCACTCATTCACATATATGCAGATGTATTAATTTCAGCCTAAGTTTTATCCTCTCTTCCTCTATACGTCTCTCTCAAAAGTTACACCAGCACATACCTACCGGCAGATACGATTTATCACATACAAACGATATATCACATACATACTTACTTTACAAGTTCCAAACAGAGACAACAGGTAAGCTACTTCACATACGTACTTCAGTTTACAAACCCCATTCCAGACAGCAGATATGATCGTTCACATACATACCTCAGTTCCCTATTTCCATACCAGACAACAACTACGAATTAACACATACATACCTCAGTTCCAATACCCATACCAGACAACAACTAAGAATTAACACATACATACCTCAGTCCCCCAATCCATACCAGACAACAACTATGAATTAACACATACATACCTCAGCCCCCAAACCATACCAGACAACAACTATGAATTAACACATACATACCTCGCTTCCCAAAACCCATACCAGACAACAACTAAAAATTAACACATACATACCTCAGTCCCCCAACCCATACCAGACAACAACTAAGAATTAACACATACATACCTCAGTCCCCCAACCCATACCAGACAACAACTAAGAATTAACACATACATACCTCAGTCCCCCAACCCATACCAGACAACAACTAAGAATTAACACATACATACCTCAGTCCCC